TACGAGGCGCTCCCCCAGTTTGCTTCATGGCTCGTCGCGGCGGTCGGAGGAGCGACACGAGCGGTTCCACGTGAAAGGTGAACCACGAGGCTCACGTACACCGTTTGATGATCGCGTCGCAGATGGAAGGAGCGGAGAAGGCGAGCCAGACGAACTTTCTATTCAAAGGACGTTAAACGCGTGTCGCAGGTGGTGAAGCCGGCCATCACGGAGAAGTTCGTCGTGGCGACGACGGAGGGTAGCCCGGCCAGATTAGAGATCAGACTGTGCTCCGACCCGAAGCCGCGGCTCGTAGCTTGGGAATGGGGCAGCACCAGACTGCACGCCGGTTAGACCGCTTGCCCCAAAACAAACTCCCGCACGAGAAGTATTCCATTTCGCCTTTGCCCCCGGTCTTCTTTATTCATTTCCTCGTTACACGTGCCGGCGTTTTTTTCAGTTTTTTTCAGTTTCTGCCGCACCGGCGGGGTGAGTGAAAAACCAGCGCGAGAGAAGCGACTGATGATTGAGTCGGGTTTCGGAATGAAAAATGCCGTTATTTGGATGACGCTGCCTTGTTTCTCCAGCAAACGCGCGCGGTCGGCTTTCCGATGCCTCGTAATACATCGACACGGCCCGGCCGGTCGTGTCGATGTATTAAATGCCTCGTGTCTCCGACGATTTTCTTCCGATGAGACGTCTCGCGCCTGACGTAACGTTCGATTTCTCACTAATTGGTGTACTTTGCGCAAGACTACGAGCGGGCTCGACGAGAAGAAAAAAAGAGCGTCACTATTTGGAAAAATACGCATGACGACATCGTCACAAATTGCTATATCGAGCCATCCGCGCTAACGAAGGACCGTGGGGGAAGAAGGAGGCGGAGGAAGGGGAGGATTAATCGATCGTTTACCGGTATGTAAAATAAGGATTCGGAGCAGCGTTATCGCGTAGAGAGCGACAAGTGCGTCACACAACTGAGTAAACGGCAAAGCGCGGCGCTCGCGAAGCCGACAAAGGCCAAGGGGAATTAATGGGCCGACTCACGGAAACTTTCTATTAGCGTTTAAGGGGCGCATTGATCTCCCGGCCGCTTTGTTTCACTTTTCGCAACACGATAACGCGCACGTGAGCTGGCCCGAGCAGATTGAACTGTATACGTCCTTTATCTCCCTAAACGCAAAGGAGAGATGCGCGGACGACGAGATGCATGTACGTGCACGATGGATTCCGCTTTCGCGGTACATAGTCCGCGCGCGAAATTACTGTGGCCGCGCCGAGGGCAGCGACTTGCGTTTATGTGCTTTAACCGCGCGCACTTTGACTCTCGTCCCTGGGCCTTTCCCGTGTCGTGCGACTTTTCACCGCGATTCCTCGCCGCGGTCATTACGCAACCATCTCGTTACGCGAGGTACTCTTGCACCCTCCCGCCTCCGCCTTGCCAAACCAAGAGAGAGAGGCGTCCGTCACCGCGCGCGAGCAACAAACCGCTAACTCTCCGCTTCGGCCTTTGTTTTGTCTTCTTATAAATGACTGCCTTCCTTCTTCTTCTTCTTCTTCTACATCTTTTGCTCCCCTCTTTCTTCTCTTCATTTTTCTAGCTCTCCTCCTTCTTCTTCTTCCACCACCACCACCACCACTTCTGCCTCGTTCACCGAACTGCAGACCCGTTAAACTTCCTTCCACTCTCGCCGAGCGAACGGAGAGGGCACTCGAGCTTCCCCGGGATTGCTCTTTCGTATACATCCTTCTTTCCTTTTTCCTTTTCCCGCCGCCTCCGCGCGCTTCCCGGCATAATTGGCACTCCTACGGATACCTTATCGACGATCCTGCCGCGCTCGCAATTACCCCCTTGGTTAATTGATCATTCGCCCGTAGTAACCCGAGAGTCACGAGATCGGTTCGGTCTTGAGACATCCGTTCAATTTCCGCGAGGCCCCAAATCGATGCTCTCCACCGGATACTCACGCCCTGAATTTTTCCCATCGCTCCTTCCCCTCCTCATCCGCCATCTGTCGTCGTCGCTCGAAATATCAGGCGAATTAATTAGTTAACCCGTTAACACGGTTCTTCGTCGGTTCTGCGAATAATTGCTCCGCGTCATGCCGGAGAGCGCGCGACATACCCGAGAAATTTCTTTACACGTCCGATGTGTGTGCGTGCGAGAGATATGTCACTTTCGTTTGCAATCCAGGAGATTGTTTTCAGTCAACAGCGCTGTCTCATGGCCGCCATGTCTTTCGGTTGATTAATTTTCGATCGCTTATTGCTTAATTTCCTATGATTTCTTCCGGCCGTCTGACGGAACTCGCGTATTAATCTTCCGTTACCTTGCCACGTTTTATTTCAGTCGGGAGACCATAGAACCCGGATATACGGAATAAATTATGTCGAGATGCATGGATGCTATTGTTATCGTTAGGTGAGGTCCTGGAGCCGCGCTACCGCGCACTCGATCTAGAGCCGTTGGCTTCGGAGGACTGTTATATAGCGATTTTGGAGCTGACCAGCACGGTGAAGGAGGATCAAAGGCTGTATCACGTTATCGTGGAGAATGACCGCGGCAGCGACAGGCGCGCGCTCATGCTGAGAGTCGACGAACCCGGTCAGGTAAAAAACAAAAAAAAAAGAAGAGAAAAAAAAAGAGCGAAAAGCGAAACGCCGCGCATGCTTGTTGCGTCGTACGTGCGGATTAACGTCTTAATCGATGTTAGACGCACCGTGTCTTGCACTTTAGCTGCCCACGCGAGAAACGAAGAAAAGAAAAGGAGAAAAGCGCGGCGATATCAGCGTCGATGAAATCCTCGTCCCGTGGATTCTCGACGGAGCGAACCGGAGCGAGGTCCGCGAAAAACGATCGCGCGCGTGTATTCTTCTTTCTTATTTTTATACAACCCACCGCGCGGGGAGTCATTAAACGCCGCGACGATAATCCGCTGGCACGGAAACGCATTTTGAAATATTTAACGGCATGGTGCAACGAACAAAAGGCCGGGGAATACACTCGTGTACTCGTGAATGACGGCCTCGTGAATGACGGCCGCTGCGCGCGCGGCGGCACTCGCGCTCGCGCGAAGAATGTTTTTAGCCGCGCGGCGGCAGCGCGCATACAGAGTATTTTTCTCTGCTGCAGATCCCGCTCGTTATCGGCGCCGTAGCCGGATTCACGGTGCTCTCGGTACTGATAATGGGATTCGTTTGTTTCCTACGTTCGGATAGGTGCTGCGTGGCCAGAAACACGGTGCCGACGTTGCAGCAAGTGCATTGGTAAGCACGCGATATTGCGCAGCGCGCTGATTTATACAGGCGGACGCTCCGCCTGCGCCGTGGATCACGCGAGCACGAGCGCGATGCTCCAATATTGTGTACATTTGAGCGCGAAAGCGTGCAAAAGTGTCTGCGAATTTGCATACGCGGGGACTCGGGATTTTCCCGCTACGATGAGACACGCGTTTCACCGAGGGGATGGAAAGCTCGCTCTCTCTTTCTCTCTTTCTCTCTCTCTCTCTCTCTCTCTCTCTCTCTCTCTCTCTCTCTCTCTTTCCCCCTCTTTCTCTTTCTCCGAAGCTCTCTTCTGAATTCTCTCGCGTATTGTCAGCAGGTGTGAAAGAGAGAGCACAGCACGCTAAGATTTAATTTAAAAAAAGAATAGAACCTCTCGATGGCAGTATTTAAGAATTTTTGTATTTTCGCGCGTTTAATTTCAGGAGAAAGGGAAAATATATCATTTTCTTTCTCTTCTTCTCCATCCGTGACGAAGAGAACTCTCTTCTCTTGCTTCGGAGAGAAACGTGCCGAGTAACAAGATTAATAAATTGTCCGACAGCCTGACATTATGCGCAGATTCCTACGGTCTGGGGTTTCTTTTCGAAGTAAATGAGACATATATAGAGAGCGCTTTTAAAAAGTAACCCCCGGGAAACATTGCCGCTCGCCCGCTCGCTCACGCGCGTGTGCCACGCGGAATGCGGTACACACAAAGCATCTAATGAAACGAAACCGGAATGATATCCGCACGCTATTCCGCAGTACAAAGGCTTCCAACGCGATGATAGAGGATCCACGCTTGGCGGTGGATACGATGGAGCGTACGAGTCAGCAGTTCGTCCCGGAGAAACGAGCCAATCACGTTCTGAAGCCCGTCCCGTCGCAGCAATATCAGCAGGAGTGTTATCAGCATGACCCGCAACACCAGCAACAACATTATCAGAGGCATCATCATCATGGACAACCTCACGGACAATACACGTTGCAGGTCAGATAAGTTAACAATCAGACAAAAACAAAAATAACCGAACCCGTTGTTTCGCACAGTGTGTAGATGAGTCCCGATGCGTCCCTCGTTATTTTTCTTTCTTTGCTCTCTCCCTCCCCACCTCTCTCTCTCTCTCTCTCTCTCTCTCCCCACCTCTCTCTCTCTCTCTCTCTCTCTCTCCCCCTTTCTTTCTCTTTCTCTCTGTCTCTCTTTCTCCCTCTCTCCTTCTCCCTTTGTCTCTTCCTGTCTCCTCTATTTCTCCCCGTCTCTCCTTACCTTTCTCTCTCTACTTTTGCTACATTTCTTCTCTCTATCTTTCTCTCCTCCTCACTTTTCTCCCCGTCTCGTTATTTTCTCATCTGCCTAACTGTGTCCATATCTGTCTATTTATCTATCCGTCTGTCTGTCTATTTTAGCTATTCAGTTCCTATCTTTTCCTTTCGTCCCTGACGTGTCACGCCGCTGCTTCTCAATTGCACGTAAAGTTCGTAGCAAGTTTTTGACACATACTCACACGTACATGTACAGACACACACGGTCCTTTGAGTCCTTTCGACGTTCGGAGTTGGTTATTACTTGGCTGTTCGTAGAGTTTTGCACGACATGCTCTTCAGTACGTATGTAATAATATGTCATGTCTAGAGAGTTGCCAAAGAGGAAGTTTGTGTAAATGATACATTATATCCATCGTATTGCGAACCGTTGCTTTATGAGTATACAATTTGATCGCACAAGAGATCGATCAAGAGAGCGCGATCAGGCGAACATTTTTTTTTTGAACTTACGGGGATTAAAACTCGAGTCGGAAAGTTAGTCATTTCGCTATCAAAACAATGAACGATCATATGTTTCTCACAGTGGCACGATCTTTGCGCAAGAAATCACGATTAATCACAAAACGCGATTCGATCTCCGATTTGCGCGCGTATTTCCATTCGCAATGCAAAACTCTAGCCGTCCACGTTAATGTACAGTGTATCAAATCTGCTGCAGAGTTCTCACTCAATTTCGCCGAATCACCGACCAACACACGTCACCAGCAGTAGCTCTCTATTACGCTACCAACGAGATACTTTTTCAGCTGCTTGCTCATTTTGCACTCGTCCGACAGTAGCCAGCCCGACCGGAGCACGCGCGTGTAAATTTAATCTCGAATTCGCGAAAGCGAAACTGCAAGTGCATGCGACTTGACCTGAATGCGAAACTAACCCCTTCCCTCTCTCTTCCTGCCGTTCGGATTATGCATAGCGATTTAACCTGCGTCGCCGGCTCGTCGGTACCACGACCTATTTTTGCCCGTTAATTCGCCGGATTGTTTGTCGGTGACTGCCAGTATTATTTATTTTCCAACTGTCCGCTTGTGTGTATGTGTGTATGAATGTGTGTGTGTGTGTGCGCGTGTGTGCGGGGGTTCGTCAAGCGGAATGTATACGCAGAGAGGAAAGTAAAATAACGGCTTGTTTAAACATTGACGCTCTCCGATCCCACCCACTCGCTCACTCACCTATTCACCTTCTTCCTCCCCCCCCCTCTCACACGTTCGTATATATGTCAATTAATTGAATCAATGAGCGAGCAATCTTGGCGCAGGAAAAATTCCTTCTACAGGACGAGGAGCGGGACACGCTAAATCGGATTAAAAAAGGCAAGGAACGAGGAGCACAAACTTTCCACCTTTTCTCCCGGAAAGACCTCGAAGGTTTTATATATAAATAAAATATTGTATTGTGTTTCGATACGTATACACGTGCGCGCACACATACCCATGCACATATATAAACACACATACATGTTCAACAGTCACTCGTGCAAACATGACCAAACATGGAGATGTATAAATATAAACACACACACACACACACACATACACATACACACACACACACACGCATTACGCTTTAATGTACCAAACGCACACACATATTCACATGTAAACAAAACGCAAACACTCCTACTGGGTCGTCCAAAAATTTGTTGACACTTCGACTGATGAAAGTATATAATTAACGCGTTACACTCATCTCCCCGTTCGCGATATTACGCGCGTAAAAGTTTATCATGACGTTATGATCGTTATTTATGATATAACTATTGCGATTGTGCATGGAAGAATCTACCAACACGTCGCCTCTTCGCAAAGATCTGCGCGGGAAGTTTTTAGACGATCCAAACATGAAATTATTACAAATACTTATGCGGCGATTAGGTTCACGCTCACGCTCATGCTCGCGCTCGCGCAAGTATCGAACTATCACGTTCTCCGATCGCGATAGTCACTTGAGTGATTTATGCGCTCGGTAGGGTGCATTACGCATGCATTTGGTTGCATCCCGGCTCCCGGGCGTCCCACCACCAATTACCGCCATGTCCTTGTTTGTAATTTAATTCAGATGGATGTACATAAGTAGAACGCGTGTTGACGATAACGCCGCCCAGGATGGACGATTAAACGTGCGCGCGCGCGCAAGAGAGAGAGAGAGAGAGGAAAGGAGAGAATACAGTTTAATGCTATCTCGTACTTGTAAAGAAGAAGAAAACAAAGAAATAACAGCCAAATCAAGTGGAAATTACTCCTTGCGAAGTAGAATACTTGATCTTGCAAGGAGAGCGACTCGTTGATTCCTTTCGTGTCTTCGACGAGCGCGTCAAGCCGCGTCGAACCGTGCGATTTAATTGCACCAGAACGAGAAAGGAACGTTTCTATAACGTCACAGACGAAACTCAACTGCCAAATTGTTGGATGTAACGCTCGAGCGTTTATCGACAATCGTTGTCAACGAGCACTATGTGTGATTTAGCACATAATCTCCTTTCATTAACTTATAAAGTAGTATTGGGTCAGTCAAAAAAAAAATACGGTTCGATTATTTGCCTTTCTTGATGGTAAATCGGCCAGCGTCTATATCGCTAAAAGCATATTGCCGAATCTTTGACAAAAGATCATAGACAATGACGGAATTAATTACTTAACTGACGAATAATTTGTTCCCGCTGTATGCACAATAAAGACAAACGATAAAAAAATCGAACCAAACTTTTTGATTGATCCAACAACTGTAAAGTTGTAGATTTGAGACCAAACGTTCCATGTGTCTCTTTTGCACGTTTCCCACAGCAATAATTATAGAAAGAAAATCATACGTTTATAGTTAGAAGTCTCCTAGTAATAAATAAACGCTCGAATACTATGTCAAAAATCTTCCCTGTACGTGTGAATCGCGTCTTCTCATTAATTGCCCGTTTAATTACGCGTTTCGAAAGTGTTTCATGCTCGGGAAAACCGAAAAGAATCGACGAGTCGCGTGTCACGACCAACCCTCGTTAAACCTGAATCCCCCGTCGTCGATTCTCCCGAATTCGCTCGTTTCTCGCGAAAGCGGTTCATTTCTCATCCTGTTTTAATTTTGATTACAACCATAAAGAAGCACAGCCTCTGCAGCCACGCGTCCTGCGAAATTCAAGAACGTAAGACTGACTCGATCGAGACGAGTAAATTTACGCTTTAAGTAGCAACGCACTTTTTACGACGGCCGATCGCGCATCGAGATTATCTGATCATTTGAAAGATTTATACGGTTGTGAGGATAATTGTGAATCGATCATGCTTAATTCGATCGTTTAAAAGTCATAGGCGCGGTTAGCGAATATCGATATTTGAAAATATTACTTTTTTTTTCTTTTTTCTTCTCTGTATATTTTTCGTTCGATCCTTGATATTACGTATATACACTCGAGATGCCGATGAACCGTCGAAGACCATTCAAAGGTGTTTGTATAATAGATATTAATTAGCCGAAACTATGCTCATTACGACTTAACGATGATATACATATTACTATTAATCGAACGCTAAGTGCATATGTACATACGCGTATATATATATATATATATTCGCTTAGATCACGATCTGAAACACCGAATCGTCGTCCAATCAATGAAAGTTTGGCGGTAACAGCGATGTAATCGGCCACTCACGTTCAACACTGCCATGTGCATCTCTATGTCGCTGTTACGAGCGGTAGTTTGAACTACAACAACTAAGCCGACGTGATTTTGTTCGCAGTTGTATAGTATAGTCGTACGAATGATTTATCGGCTCAGAAACTCTCGATAAAGAGAGAGAAAAAAAAAGGAAAAAAAGAAACGGGAACCAAACTGTATAGATCGTTTCAGAGCGCGTCGCCCGACCCAACATCCGAGCATGTCGGAGTTGCATTTTTGTATGTACCCCTGCACCCCTACGAGATATGTACAGAGAAAAAAAGAGATTTTCCACCGATTACTTTTCACCCCCCTCCCACCCCTCTTCCAAGTACGACGCACCGTTGTTTGCTGTTACCTCGATCAATCGTCCTCCATAGCGAGTAAAACTTGTATTGTATCTCCTGACTGTTGTGCCGTCGTCGTTCTGATGCGAATTACACCGACTCTGTAATCGGACTAATAATATGATGATGGGACTCCGTTGTACGGCGTATGAAATAGTTCCGAGAGGAGTTCTCGAGTTCTCTTCCGTGTATAAAGTTGTCATTAAAAGGTGATCACACATGTGTGCGTATGTGTTTGTCATCGCACCCACGCATACCTTCCCGTTCCTTATGCGCGCGCGAAGCCTTTCCGAATCTACGTAGAGTAATAAGCACGGATTCTGTTTGTTTTAAACGTGTTTTCTCGATTAACATTGCACGTTGCCGCGAAGTATATCGCGCGTACAAGAGGTCGCGTCATTCGTTAGTCTTTATTCATTGTTCATCGCCACTCGTGCAGTTATTTATTGCTCGTTACTATAGTCATTTGTATTCTTATTACATAACTATATAGTTATATGTAATACACACATACACACACATACACACATATATATGAATATATTAAGTAATTATATAATTATCATTCACGATTTCCATAATATTTCGATAAAGAGAGAATATACACAATATTATATCGTGTTACACGATATATTTGTATAATAATATTTATATACAATCTGTATAATATTTATATACATAGGGTTTGTGAACGTGTACGTCTTCATTTACATACTATGCACATACCTACTACGTACTGTGTATTTACTCCCTTAGTTTCGGTTTCTGCCTGTCATGCTGGATCTACCCTAACTGTTATAGCCTGGACTGTTTGGCACCTGCGTTGCGTCGGGAGTGTAGAGAAAGACCCTGCGCCCACGAGACTTTACCCCTTGCGCGCTACGTTTTCGAGCGCGCGTAGAATTGCACAGATTGCACATCTATGCTAGTTTCTATATTCCTGACTGCCGCAAGTAATAACCCGTAGAACGTTATGGTAGCAATTCGTGCGCGTCAGTGCACTCTGTTTGCGTATGTATATATACGAGGAACAAGTTCACATTAACCCTCTTCAGCTCCGCTGTTCAGTTCAGCAGTACATGGAACAGACGTATGTTCGTGAACGTTTTTTTTCTCTTGTTTGATTTTGACAACGTCGTGATCTTGTTGTCTCTTCACAATTGTACACATATATTGAATTGATTTTTGCAACACTATTCCCTTTTTTTCTTCGTGCAAGCTTTAGCGACACGAAGGAATAATTTTCTTACGACAGAGTTTCTAATACCCGAAATCACACGAAGACTAAGATAATAAATATTCAAGATTCTCAGTTGCTCACGAGCTATAGCGGGTTAATGCGAATGAAAATTTGCGAAATACCGAGGGTTATGATCCTAAGATGGCGATTGTGCAGGGGGAGCAGCTGTTTCTCAAACCCGATCGCTTAGCGACGTTGAAGCCGCATTGCAAGAGCGAGAAGCCGCCGCAATATACGACATTCAAGCCGAACTCGAACAACTGAGGGAACTTTACTGCATTTATTTTGTATCGATATACACGCTGATGTGAGAGAGAGAGAGAGAGAGAGAGAGAGAGAGAGAGAGAGAGAGAGAGAGAGAGAGAGAGAGAGAGTGCAGAAGCGAGATAGCATAAGGCTGAATGAGAGAAGAAAGTGACACAAAAATGACACGAAATCAAATACTAAAGCTGTAGTTTTACTTCTATCATCGTCGATTATTACATGTATGGATTATAATTTAAGAAAAGCGCGTACACACACGGTATATGCATGTAATAATTATAAACGACTCGAGACGAGCGAATTCGTCGATGACGACGACAATGACGACGACGACGACGACGAAAACGACGGAAACTACGAAATCTTTCACGAAATATACTGCCAAAGAACTCCTCTAAAATAAGATACGCGATCGACATGATCCCCAGAACCAATTGAGAAACGAGAATTAATGCGAGAATTAATGCGAGGTGTCCGTTTATAACGCTCACGGCGATTTTAATAAAGCAATGATTTTCATCAATCGCTATTTTTATTAGCGCTTTTTGAGGGCAGGTAGCGCGCATCGTCCGCGAGCTTGCAAATACGTGAGTCTAACAAAAATTCTTCTTGTGCGTAAATACGAAGGAAACTAGAGTGCAAGTTTTTAAAACGTAACGACATGTTTTCTATCAAGTCGTGTTCATCTTGAGCTCGTGGACGATACTTGACCGTTGCTGAGAAGTGAGACTTTCAGTTGCGTCGATTGCTCTCACAATGGTTTTGCAGCGTTCTCATAGACCGAATTGCCATTGATCGTAATATATACAATATCGAACGTGTTTGTTATAAAAATAAACTTACAACATCGTATATAAAAACCCCGCTACTTTCAATCCCATCTATATGAAACCACGAAGAAATGAGCAGACGAAAAATCGAGACGCTCTTATGGTGTCTGCTAACGTCGATTAAATTTTAACCCGAATTTAAATTCTACTCGGATAAAGACAAACTTAGGTTAAGGTTTAGCCGATAGTGATAGAAACATATTATTATTCTCTCGAGAGTTTCTTTCCGCTGCGTAGAAGTGATCTGTTTATTTCGGCACGCGAATTTTTGTACTTTCTGTATATCACCGCACCGTATCTTTCGGTCTACTATCGATCTCTGTATATATATTTATCATTGTATTCATCTATATTCATCGTATACTTACCGTGACACCATCAGTCACCGAGTCGATACTCATCGTGGCAAAGTGAATGTATCTCGATATCTGGGAGTTTTGTCAACGCGTTTTAAAATTGTCTCGCGCCACGATTATTTCGCGACGATGCAGTGACAATCGCTTCCGTGGACTGAGCGATTGTCTGCAACAAGCCGATTTGCCTTTCACATATCGCGCGACGCGCTGCGCAATTACGAAGACATCTGCCGCGAGACACATGTTGCAATCGCAGATGACGTTTTTCGCGACAGCCCGACTTTCCTGGTCATCTCCTACAGCTCGCGCAGGTACCGCGACGGGGAAGTCGCGAGACGTCCTTGCTTTTTTCAGTCGACCTGCCGGCGGGCTCCTCAGCGACGATCGAAGTTTCTCTCGACGTTGAGTCTTATGTTATTCAAATTCGATTCCACAATAGTGGAGGATTAAAATTGCAAACCGGTGAGAATTTTAAAGTGCGAGTCGAAGAAAACGCTTCTGATAGATGCCCTCGGGAGCGCGCATGTAAGAGACGCTTTTAAGCGCGCCGTTGAGCTTAAGTTACTTTTCGCTTAAAGAGAGGAACACGATCGACGGGGGGCAAAGAGGTTTGTTCCTTCGGAACAGTTTGCGAATGACTGTGTATTTTCCTGCGCACGCTCTTGTTTCGTTTCGTTTTGTCGCAAATTCCCGCTGCCCCCGTATAATCGAGCAAAGTTCTCGGTTTTATCGATTTCTCGCATTTTTTTGTTTTTATTTTACTCACCACCGATCGTCCGCTATCGTCGTTGAACTGCAGTTGAGCTTAGCGACACGTCGCCGTCCGGTTTCTATGCTCTTTATCGGCGCAAACTGAGGAAGACTGGAACGCGCATGGTGCAATGTATGGTGCTCGTCGGCAATGAGGTCGCAGCAGATCTCGCAACCGGAATAGAACATGCCGTATGAAGGTAGGAAATATACGGGACACAGCATCACAGCTCCATCACCATCCACGGCGGCGTTAATTCTGTAGAAACGCAAAATGAATGAGGAACAAATGGAGAAATATTAGATTGACGAAACAATTGCTTTTTCTCTCTCGAGATATAACAGAGAAAACTTTCCTTGGGTAGAATAAATTAATTTTTTAATTTCGTTAACATGACGATATAGCAAAGGGCTTAAAGTTCATCTCGGTTAACTGGAACAGAAGCGATCAAATTGTCAATGGCGAATTAGCAAGTGAGCGCCATTAAAATTCATGATGTAACGATGCGATGTCGTTACGATGTCGGACTTTTATCTCATATCGTAATGATTCTTACGTATCGTATGATTCACGGTGTTCATCGCTTTGTTGTTACATTGAATGTAATTATTACGTACTCTTATGCTGCTCCTCGTCTCCATAATTCAATGTAATGATACACATCTTCGAGCGATGTGCGTAACTGTTATCTTTCGCCGGCCATTTGCATGACTAACTGTAGTGCATACGCACCAATTTCAAATTAATTTCGAATCTCGCACACCCGTATTTCTGTCGATACATATCGACCTACAGAGTTCGTGGTTGACCGACCGTGCGCGACGCATTTTAGCAAGTCTGAAAATAGTTGTTAGCAGATGATACTTCTATAGTCAAATATTTATATATTCTAATGTCGGTAGGAAGGATTCATTTGACAAATTTTCAACAAGATTCAAAGCATGTAACTGCATAATAATTCCATCTATTTCGTGTGCAAAAGAAATATTTAGAAGCTTACCAAAAGGGCGGCACTTGACGACGAAAACATGACGATAGGTTTTAATCATTGATATATAAGACATAGATAGCATAATCCTTCCAGTTTTCATAAGAGAAAATATAGAAAACAGAGAGCAGAGAGAAGAAGGAGAGGGGTCAGGGCCGATTTTAATTGAGCCACCGACGAGATACTATGGCTGTGTTCCGAAATTTACTGCCAATACTGAAAATACATAGTTTGTGTCACGTATACTATAGAATTTCAGTGCTGGCAGTGAATATCGGAACGTAGCCTATAAATGCGGTCTGTTCTTTGTAGCTGCACTGCTGAACTGGTGCAATAAGCTAGAGTGAGAAAACCTATACTTGTTTCACTTTAACTGATTGCACCAATTCAACAGTGCAGCTACAAAGAACAGACCATACACGCACGTACACTCGTGAACTAAAAGGTATGTGCACCGATTTTTTGTTGACTTCGGAACGCGCTCTAACTTGAGGAGAAAAACAACCACTGTTTCATACGTCAGCGCTGTCACTTATTACGAGAGCAGAAGGATGGCATATATGAGTGTCAAATAAGTAGTGATTGTGACGTAGACACAAATGTCTTGGAGACATTGAGTTATAATTGAAGAAATGAAGAAAACAAATATAAGTGATTGTGAAGAAAAGTGGCAAAAGGCTTCATAAAATTTGTAAAACAGCATATTAAAGGAGAGTATTAATTGTCTAATAATATTTTAAGTGAAAAATATTTTTAAATTTGAGAGATTAGAGGGGTATGTACCTGAAAAATGAAAACAAATTGTCATTGCACTTGGACAATTTTTTGACACTGATTTATGGTATTAATCGATATTCGATTTTCGGTACTGATTTATTCTCTCATTTCTTTATAAGAAAAGAAAAATTGATACGGATCGTTCGTTTAACCGGGATAATTGATTGAATGTCGAGTAAATTAGAGGGGTAAGTACCTTAAGAATAACAACAAATTGTCATTGCACTTGAACAATTTTCTGACACTGATTTATATTATTGATCGATATTCGGTTTTCGGTACTGATTTACTCTTTCATTTCTGTATAAGAAAAAAAAATTCATTCCAATCGTTCATTTATTCGCGTTAATTTGATGAATAAATTAGATATTGAACGGCCTTCGATTTTCGGTACTGATTTATTTTCTCATTTTTTTATGAGACAAGAAAAATTGATACGAATCGTTCGTTTATCTGAGTTAATTTGTTAAGTAAATTAGAGGAGTAAGTACCCGAAAAATGAGAACAAATTGTCATTGACTTGGACAATTTTCTGACACTGATTTATGGTATTAATCGATATTCGGTTTTCAGTACTGATTTATTTTCTCATTTTTTTATAAGACAAAAAAAATTGATACAAATCGTTCGTCTATCCGAGTTAATTTGTTGAATAAGATTAGAGGGGTAAGAACCTAGAAAATGACAACAAATTGTCATTTGCACTTGAACAATTTTCTGACACTGATTTACGATATTAATCGATATTCGATTTTCGGTACTGTTACCAACCTATCTCCGCTGATATCTCCGCTCGTAGTGGGAGTAGAGAATCGTCATTTACGGGAAAATGTAAGGTTTTGAGAGGACCTTAATTTGGTACCAGAGCCAGGCCTGTATCTCTAACCGTTTAAGAGATATCGAAGGTTAAAGTTTTCCAGCCTTTCTCCGTCGATATCCAGCCTTCCTCCGTCGATATCTCCGCTTCTACTGGGAGTAGAGAGTCGTCCATGTAGTCCAAAATGTAGGGTTTTGAAAGGGCTTTAATTTGGTACCAGTCCGAAGCCTGTATCTCTAACCGTTTAGGAGATATCGAAGGATAAAGTTTTCCAGCCTTTCTCCGTCGATATCCAGCCTTCCTCCGTCGATATCTCCGCTTCTACTGGGAGTAGAGGGTCGTCCATGTAGTCCAAAATGTAGGGTTTTGAAAGGGCTTTAATTTGGTACCTATCAGAAGCCTGTATCTCTAACCGTTTAGGAGATATCGAAGATTAAAGTTTTCCAACCTTTCTCCGTCGATATCCAGCCTTCATCCGTCGATATCTCCGCTTCTACTGGGAGTAGAGGGTCGTTCATGTAGTCCAAAATGTAGGGTTTTGAACGGGCTTTAATTTGGTACCTGTCCGAAGCCTGTATCTCTAACCGTTTAGGAGATATCGAAGTTTAAAGTTTTCCAACCTTTCTCCGTCGATATCCAGCCTTCATCCGTCGATATCTCCGCTTCTACTGGGAGTAGAGAGTCGTCCATGTAGTCCAAAATGTAGGGTTTTGAAAGGGCTTTAATTTGGTACCTGTCCGAAGCCTGTATCTCTAACCGTTTAGGAGATATAGAAGTTTAAAGTTTTCCAACCATTCTCCGACGATATCTCCGCTTCTACTGGGAGTAGAGAGTCGTTCATGTAGTGCAAAATGTAGGGTTTTGAAAGGGCTTTAATTTGGTACCAGTCCGAAGCCTGTATCTCTAACCGTTTAGGAGATATCGAAGGTTAAAGTTTTCCAACCTTTCTCCGTCGATATCCAGCCTTCATCCGTCGATATCTCCGCTTCTACTGGGAGTAGAGAGTCGTCCATGTAGTCCAAAATGTAGGGTTTTGAAAGGGCTTTAATTTGGTACCTGTCCGAAGCCTGTATCTCTAACCGTTTAGGAGATATAGAAGTTTAAAGTTTTCCAACCTTTCTCCGACGATATCTCCGCTTCTACTGGGAGTAGAGAGTCGTTCATGTAGTCCAAAATGTAGGGTTTTGAAAGGGCTTTAATTTGGTACCTGTCCGAAGCCTGTATCTCTAACCGTTTAGGAGATATCGAAGTTTAAAGTTTTCCAACCTTTCTCCGTCGATATCCAGCCTTCATCCGTCGATATCTCCGCTTCTACTGGGAGTAGAGAGTCGTCCATGTAGTCCATAATGTAGGGTTTTGAAAGTGCTTTAATTTGGTACCTGTCCGAAGCCTGTATCTCTAACCGTTTAGGAGATATCGAAGTTTAAAGTTTTCCAACCTTTCTCCGTCGATATCCAGCCTTCATCCGTCGATATCTCCGCTTCTACTGGGAGTAGAGGGTCGTTCATGTAGTCCAAAATGTAGGGTTTTGAACGGGCTTTAATTTGGTACCTGTCCGAAGCCTGTATCTCTAACCGTTTAGGAGATATCGAAGGTTAAAGTTTTCTAACCTTTCTCCGTCGATATCCAGCCTTCATCCGTCGATATCTCCGCTTCTATTGGAGTAGAGGGTCGTCATTGTAGTCCAAATGTAGGTTTTGAAAGGGCTTTAATTTGGTACCTGTCCGAAGCCTGTATCTCTAACCGTTTAGGAGATATCGAAGGTTAAAGTTTTCGAACCTTTCTCCGTCGA